CCGTGCCTCCGCGGGGGCTGGCGTTTGGAGGTGCCCGGTTTGGTTGGGGGGTTTGGGCGGGGAGGGGGTCCCGTGGCCGGGAGCTGAGGGGGCCTGGCCTGGACGTGGCCCCTCTGGCTTCCCCGGCCCTGCTCCGTTAGGCCTCCCAGCCGGCAGCCCGCCTTCGGGCTGCAGAGCCTGCGCGGCCTCCATAGGGCTGGTTTTGCTGATGGCGTACCTCGCTGAGGCTGGGGTGCTCTGCGATGCCATAAAAACGCACCATTGTGCAGTTCCGTGCTAATTACATTGTAATTTAGAGGGGTTTTGTAATGAACCTTGAAAAAAATCCCGTTCGTCCTCAGTTCTGGCTTTTGATGCGTCCTCTGGTTCCTGTTTGCAGAGTACCGTCCATGATTTGACAGTCCACCGTGCCACTCCTGAGGACATAGTAAGTTTAATGTCAATCACTGTTCCTGCTCTGCAGCAAGGAGATGTAGCTGGTGATCCAGCATCAGTGTTCGCCGTACGTACGGGGATGCTTTCTGCCAATGTTTAATCTCCCTTTTTAAGCTTCTGAAAATACTGGCTCTTGCGTGTTAGTTTTTTGTTTATGATGTCATGCATCCCCAGCTCTGGCAGTTGGTGTTTTCCAGTTTTCTGTTTCCATTAGGAAGCAGTAGCCATAGTTTTTATTTCAATAAAGTGTATACCATCATAAAACCATAAATACATAAAAACTCAGTGGAGTAGTTGAAGTTAAGTCCTATCTCTGCTGGAAGGACAGAAAGACATGCTTTATTTTGGGAATCTCTCTAATTCTGAGGATACTCGATTTTCATTTAAACAATTTAACACAATTTCTTTGTGCTGAACGACCTGTTCATTACAAAATATGTAAGTTACATTTCATTTTCCTTGGTAGCACTGATTACCAGAATGGAATAGGCAGTATGAGCTATTGTTGCTTATAAATTTTGACAGGTTAGTCAGGACAGATGGGCACAATAGCAGAGAGAGACTCAGTTCTATAAATGGTTGGCTTGATTGCTTCCAGACAGCTTACACCTGAGAAAACTCTTACTGAGTCAGTGGTGTAGGGCAGATGGAAACTATGAGACTTTCCCCATTCACCTTTGGAGCCGCTTTAAATCTGGCTGGTCTTGATGGCATTTTGCACTTCTGGATGTTTGTGAGGCTGTCAGTTGGTACTACCTTGAAGTTACATAAACGGTATTCAGCACATGAATGATAAAATCAAGAAGAGCTTGTTAGCATTACCCTGCAAATTTTGCTTTAGATTGTCCCTTGATTTTGAAATGGTTTCTTTCATGTTTACGTAGCTGCGTCGCCATGAAATACACAAATCAAAAAACAAAGCACTGGCACATCTGGAACTGCAAGAGAAAGCACTGAAAAGAAAATGGAAGAAGCAAAAACAACTGGCTGCTGATTCCTTGGAGAAAAGGAAATTGACTCTGATGCGTGAGGTGAGGGCTAAATCTGCACTTTCAGCCTGCTGCAGATGATTTGCAGCGGTAGTGGAAAACTGCTCTTGCACGTAGGTCAACATTTGCTCCTCTTGTTGAATAATTTGACTTCGTATATGCGTACACTGTCCCTCCTCTACCTGCTGCATGCATGCAATGCTGGAATAGGCTGTTTAACATATTAACTGATCTATACAGTTGTGCATTTGATCCTTGTTGCCTGGCTGTGCCCTCTGTAATTCTGCAGGCCTCTCTGCGTCTGAGCAGGAACTGTTTGCAGAGTTAAACTCTCTGTTGTGAAAAGGATGTGTGTTTTTTGTGTTCTTACTGCTGTCTTGCCTTCTCCTCCTCCTGACTAGTATTTTCCCTTGATGGAAACATGAACGTTTCTCTTTCTGGGGCGGACATCCTTACCTGCCGTTGCTTACTTAAACAGAGAAAATGCGGAGTCATAGGGGCAAAAAGGGTGAGGCAAGAAGTTGGTAAGGAAGAGCTTGTCTGGAGGGAAAATTGACAACAAAGGTTGAAGAGCTATGGCTGCTAGCAGACAAGCTTGTCATCTGGGAATCGAAATGCTTGTTCTCTAGGCATTCTGAAGCACTCTGGCTGAAAATATTAATATTGTTTAATTTGCTTTTGAATTTTGAACTGTAGCGGCAAACCTAAACTTCGCTAACAGAGGCAGTAGCTTTTACTGTCTGAAAAGGGATTTCAGTGATAGGCATTATCTTTTTGTTCCACATGGCAGGTGACTCCTTGCTATATGTTATGAGAACTAATTGCAAAACATTAGCTTTCGGACTTCATTGGCACTTGGGCAAACAGATTTGTTCTTGTTGGTGAAGAATGAGGATGAACAATGTTCACCTAGCAGTTAATATAAACATGATTTAGTCATCCTGTAAATGTGCGGTGGGTTAATCACCACAGACCTCTTGTCTTTCATCTTTTGTAAATTTTTGTCTTTCTGTGAACTCTGAGAACATTCAAGCACAGACAGAAACAAATGAAAGTACACAGAATTAAAGGTCATCTTCTGGTTTCCTATTTGACACCTGTTTCTCTGCAATCACAGTAGAATTTTTCTGAAGGATATTGTGCTAATCAAGCCTTTAATTTTGACCTTTGTTATTCTCATGCTTTTCTGCCAAGTGCATTGTAGTGGCGTATTTAAGAAGCTGTGGACTTTTACACAAATTTCCCTAATGTAGTTAGGGAATGTAGGCTAGTTTCAATAAGACTTCCAGCCAGAAGTAAATTATGTATCACAAAGGTAGATTAGACTACCTGCTCTAAGATTTGGCTGGACTATCTATTATGTGACTTTGTTATTTCACAGATGTGAAACTCACGGTTAGGAAATAATTTTCCATATTCGTTGCCATTTCTAATGACTGCACAAATTTAAAATTCCTCCTGAGTGGCTTTCACATCCATATTTAAGAGATTACTTTATTCAACATACCCTGTGTCTACTTCTGAATCAGAGAAAAGATGCTTCCAGATAGGAAGACAAAAGGAGATGATGCCAGGCGAGATGAAACCCATCTGGCTGTTGCTGCTTGAAACGCTGGCGTCTTCTTGTGTGTAGAGAAAAAAGCAGAGGGAGGAGAGTCGCCATTTTTGCCTGCTTCTAGCTTAAATCTTGTTAATGGCTAGGTCCTGTTGTTCAGAGTAACTGGGGAGACTCTTCATTCTGTGTCTCCCAGTAGAGCACAACCACTGTGGGTTGTCTTCTTGTTTCCGTTACCTTGATGATCTTTTTTCCTTATTTACTGCTGTGAGTGTAGCTTCCTAAGCCCCTTGAATCCTACTCAACTGCAAAAGACTCGGAGACAGAAGCTAGGAAGATGCTGCTACTAGTGTGTTTTTTTCTTGATGAGAAAGAGGGTAAAAGTTATAAAACTTTTTAGGCAGACAAATCCTCAGTTTTATAAATCTGAATTAAAAAATGAGTTTGTCTCTATACTGTGGATTGTGAATGCATAGGTACTGCACTGCTCGGTCCTATAACAACTTATTTTAAAAATAACAGTAGTGTATTGCACTGCAGGGTAGGTGGTGAGTGGGTTATCATAGCGGGAAGGTTTTAGGATCAGTCCCGTTTAATTATCTTTAGTAACAATCTGAAACAGGAAGGAAGATTAATTTTAATGAAATTCATAGGTGATACTAAACTGGGACAAGGTACAGCACTCAGTGAATTTGTCGAGGGCATGTAAATGGGCCTGGAGGGGTTAGAAGCTGATATCACTTTGTTTTCTGCTGATGACAAGCAATTGTGAGCTAATCTACCTTGGGAGCAATGCTCTAAAAATGTTCATAACACGTTCAG